GTGTGTGTTTTAGATTTTCCCCACAACAGCCCCAAATCCACTCAGGTGAATAGATTCAGAATCAAAGCAGTCCTTGTCCTATGGCAGACAACGAGAGCACTTGAGATGTCCAACATATTAAAGCAATTTTATAATTAGACAGTTTTTTGGTTGTCCTTGGTAACTCTTTCACTGTTCTTGCAGCTCCCCTTTTACTGTGCCTCTTACACACAAGGCTGCCCACGTTGATTGTGGTTGAGCGGCAGCTTCCCACATCCCCGTGTGCCTTCACGGCCCACTTGCACGTTATTTCAGGAGGCAGAGTAAAAGGGAAGGTATGCTCCTGTGCATCTCTTCAGAGCTTCATACTCCTGTTCATTTCACTTCAGATCTTCAGCTTATACAGTCTTTGTGTCCGTCCTTCATCTTCATACTTCCGTTCATTTCATTTCTGATCTTCATATCGTCTGTTCTCTTAATGATGCTCATTCGCATGTATTTGTTAGTAGTACAAAGGGAGTGGAGGTGAGGGTGGAGGGTAAGGGATAGAAGGCAGAGTTCTATAGGAGTATAGGGCAGGGGAGGTAGGGGCAACGGGAAGGAAAGAAATATGTGGAGGGCAGGATAGAGTATGACATGCAAAGAGCAGGGGAGAGGTGTATGACGGGCTTCACAGATTTCTAAATATTCACCGCTGAAACAGACTACTCTAGCAAAAAAAAAAAACAAAAAAAAAAACAACTATGGCGAGTGGCCACCCCTACAAAACCGGACAGGGCCGGTTCGGGTGTGGACTATGGAAAGCACCGCATCCAATTTTTGCAGTCACAGTTGCTGCATCGAATGGCGCGGCGCAGACAGATGTCACAGGCTACGTGGCTCATACATGCTAGGAACATAGAGGCACGTCGACCGCAATTATAGAGGCATTGTCGTTCCAGCCCGTCTACAAATCGGACATGACATGTCGGGGTGCCGTACATGAGTACAGTACTGACTGTCATCGTACGTATGGAAGCAAAAACTCGCATGGACTATTATCCCTTCATAATCCTCACGGCACAAGGCATGCGAACCACATGCTAGTTGAATCTCCGGTGGGTCATCACAAAACGACATGGAGCATCTTTCTTGGGCTTCCTCAGTATGTATTCCTTCTCCATGGGCAGACGACAACAGGGAGGATCGGTCCAACGCAAGGGCGTCCAGCTGCTGCAGGATATGATCAGCAACAGCTCGCCCTGGTGACGATAAACTATGAGCACACGCTCTGCCGGTGGTTCATATGGAAGTCTATTTTCCTCCTCGGACTGCTGTGTTCGTCGTTCGTCTGGCAAGAAAGAGGGAGATCCCTCAGCGGTTGCCATGGCCCATAGGTGTATGACCAACACCGCATGTGGGACATGCTAGGAGAGGATGTGGAGGCTGATGGCACCGGGGATAGTCCACGCAGTAAAGACACATACTTTCTATGACAGCTTCCTGGAAGCATTGACGACACCTGGCATGTTGCTGACATGTCATTACTACTCATTAGCATGGAAGGCTGACGTGCACAGTTATTTAAGCATGGCAGATCAAGGCCACAACGGCATGCTGGGCAAGTAATCAGAGGGGGGGGGGAGGATGAGCACAGGACAGGGGATCACAATTTTCGTGTGAGAGGCTAGCAGCGACCATCCCTTCATAGTGTTCAGAGCATAGGCTATGTCGTGTACATGCCAACCGAACTGCACCTGTGCGACGACACAACGGGAGGGCACAGCCATCATCCTGTGGAGAGGTCCTTTCACTGTTTGTGTGTGTGTGTGTGTGTGTGTGTGTGCTGTTTTAAAAGATCCCAGATTCTCTCTCTCATTCCCTTCACAGATCACCACAAGCCATCCATAACGAAAACGTATAGATAGGCAATATAATAAAAAATGCAAGGTTGGCCACATTTGTGTGGTTCAGCGCCAAGTGCCCACACGCCCGTCTGCCGCCAAAGCGGCACACTAGCACATATACATATGTATACATATATATTTTAAACCATGAGGGGATGGAGGACAGAAGGCAACTGACCCACGACAGAAGACTACTCGTGCAAGAAGGCACCGGCCCGACCCCCTCAAAGGTCCGAAAAAACTTGGAGAGCCTTCCGCATCGGCCCACAAAACCAAAAACTCATTTATAAAAAAATAAACAAATATAACAGCATTGGGATTCCTGACATTCACCTCAAACTACACACTCGCATCACTGCCAAAGAGGAGGAAGAAGATAAGAGACAACCTACCTAAGACAGAAGACTCCTCCAGCAAGAACGCACCGACCCCCCTGGTAAGGGTCCTAAAAAAACTGGGAAAGCCTTCCACGCCGCCCCACAAAACATACATTCTGTGTGTGTGTGCGTGTGTGTGTGTTTGTCAACATCCCAAACTCTCTCTCTCATTCCATCCACATACCATCACAACTTTTCACAAGCCATCCATACACAAAAAGAAGTACAGATGAGCAATATAATAGAAGGTGCAAGGTTCCCCACATTTGTGTGGTTGCGTGCGTGTGCCTGTGTGTGTGCGTGTGCCTGTGTGTGCGTGTGTGTGTGTGTGTGTGTGTGTGTGTGTGTGTGTGTGTGTGTGTTTGTGTGTGTGTGTGGGCGTGTGTGTGTGCGTGTGTGTGTTTCAATTTTCACCACAGCAGCCACTATTCCACCTAGATGAGTAGATCCAAAAGCGAAGCAGCTTTAGTCCTATTGCAGACAACAAAAACACTTGAGATTCTGTGTGTGTGTGTGTGTGTGTGTGTGTGTGTGTGTGTGTGTGTGTGTGTG